ACATCAGCTTTGCCATTTTAAGTGGAACGCCCTATATATTTCGACATTTGTTGAATTCCTGGTTAAAATAAAGGTCACTTTCTTAAGTAATTCCCATTCAAATTGTGCATAGTTTAGACAGAAGTGGAGGCTATGTGTTTTTTTTTCATATTGTGATTGCCCCATATAAGTTGCTGTTATGACGCTACTGATGCAGGTATTGCAACGACAATTTAACCTCATACTAAGGTGATGATCAGTTTGACAGCTCCGTTTCAGCTTAAACAGGGTGTCCCAAATAGGTGGTGCCGTTTTGGCGAAGTGAATTAACAAAATCTCAATATTTTCAAATAGAACACCCTATATTTTTATTCAGATATCAATTCTAGGACAAAAAATAAGGTAATCGACTCTGTACTACACACTTTAACTTCAGAATTCATATTTATAGAAACATTTAATAGTTAATTATCTAGCTTGATTGAAAATACATTATAACAAAAATAGATAATTAAAGGCTAATTAAATAAGGTAACAAATTTGAATAAGTACAGAATAATACACAGAAACAAATAACTAAAACTTAAATAAGGTAATACTGTTATATATTTTCATATTTCGCGTCATAATGCTGGAGACCGCATCACTAGTATTTAATACAAGAATCTGCTAAAATGTGTAGTATAGAGTCGATTTTTTCAAAATTTCGACGTATTAATGGACACCCTGTATTGTTAGCAATAAGTTTAAAAGAAGTAGTATCATGTCTATGCTATTTAAAAAATACCTAATATTGCCAACAAGTGACCTAATGTCGGCAGCTTTAAATGCAACAAGAATTATCTTAAACCCCTAATATTTCAAAAATTAAATAAAATTTAAATATAAGATAAATTACAAACTTAGCTTTTCTAATCCTAGAATTGATATCTGAATAAAAATATAGGGTGTTCCCTTTGAAAATCTTGAGATCTTGTTAATTGAATTCGCCAAAACGGCACCACCAATTTGGGACACCCTGTATAAAATGAAACGGATCTGTCAAACTGATTGAGTAGTGCATCACCTCCTTAGTCTGTGGTTAAATTTTCGTTGCAATACCTGGATCTGTAGCATCAGAGCATAATTTTATATGGGGCAATCAAAAATATGAAAAAAAAACATTAGTTCAATTTCTGCCTAAACTATACAAAATTCGAATAGGAATTTCTTAAGAAAGTGATCTTCATTTTAACCAACTATTCCCAAAATGTTTAAATATACAGGGTGTCCCATTTAAAAAACAAAGTTGGTATAGGGGCCACCCTGTATCAACAAAATTATAATATCAATAAAATAGGAAATTAATTAAATAAATTTGTTTTTATTATTACATCTTAATTTTGCTTTGATTGTTCCATATATTCTTGACATAGACAAGGTTCGCTATTACAGGAAAACGATCATAACATGGCAATATATGATAAATCATGTCTATATTTTAATATTTTAATTGATCATCGTAGAAACAATGTATACAAAATTCTCAAAAATTTAAACAAGAATTAAAAATGTTTGTGTTCTGTGAGAAACTACTGAGGTATATGTGTTGTTAGTATTATAATTTTTTTTTGTGCTTAACATGCATCCTAAAAATTTCAGAACTAAATCAACACAGATTTTAAAAATTCATAAAACATCACTGTCTGTGACACCATTTTTCCACTCCCTACTCCAAAACACCCAACTATAAACGGACCAAGCATGCTAAAAGTATCACTTTAAGCTTCATTACGAACAGTCGCGAGCCACTTCGGACGTCTCCGGTATTTTAGTCACGGGTTGCTCGACTGTTTTAGGAATATTTTAGCTATGGTGTTTTGACGTATGACAATTCTGACTGCCATGTCGCGCCTCACTTAGGGGATATATTCTTCATATTTTTCAAAAATGTACCCAACAACTATTGATCCAGTTGATGAAGTTCTTCAGTCCCTTCTTTCTTAAGCATTCGTGCCAAATGAACCTAGTAAATAAGATGGCATTTATCAAATTTGTTGAATAATATACTATTATTTTCGAATTTAATTTGTTTTTCTCTCAGTGATATTTTCTTATGCACACAATATATTTCAGTTTATCATAAACAAAAATATTCACTTCCAGAATTCTCAGAGACCTTGACTCAGACGTTCCGGTTTCCCGGATTCCGGTGGGCGTAAAATTTAAATACCATTATTAACTCGAGTGTCTGAAGACTTACAGGCACGGATCTTCTAATAAATTTGATTCGCTGCGGTCGGCGGCGGTTGCGTCGAAACAGATTTATCCAGCTGCAACGGAGCGAAACATCGGTTAACCCAAAGCTGCAGTTTATTAACTAAGACAATAAGGTCTTGAGCTGCTAATTTATTTGCCTTGAGGAAACTTTAAATTTAGCCAAGATTGTTTGAGCGTAACTCCACTCCAACACATTTTGTTCAAGTTTTATAAAATGTGTATAAAAGAATTTTGTTGGGACACCTTCATATTCAATAACTTTTGAATTTTTTAGTTTGTTGTTTCTACGGTTCTAAGTTTTGCAACTCAGTTTGTCTCAATCTAATTAATTATATTCAGTATAGTATCTTCTGTTGTTATAACCGTTAAGAGGACCTTTTGTCCCATGAATGTCTCTACTTATTTTTTTGTGAGTTATTACATCATTTTGGTAAGAACTTATCTTGGTTTTGTAAACTTTTATTTATTCACAATTTTGGCTATTCTCTTTAAGACTAATAAACAACTTCTATTCGTTTCGTTTTAGTTCAAACCTAGTAAAAGAGCCAAATTCATTACATACATTCATTACATACATGGAAGTTAAAGTTAAATCAAATTGACATTCTAAAATAAGAAGTAGGAGCCAGCAGAGTTACTGCGTCAATGTTATCATTATTCATTTGTTTACATAACATTTTATTAATTCAGAATCGCTAACCTTTTAATAAAATGAAATTTAGAAGTGACGTACACAAACTTAGTCTTCAATATCGAGGGTATATCTCTCCTAAACTAACTAAATTATTATATATTATTATATAACGTTTACCGGCTTTTATAACCAATTTTCCGATTCTAAAGTTCTAAACATTCGCTACTTCAAACAAACTGTTCAAAATTACCTATTGGCGTCGTGATGGTTTAGTAGTGGTTTGCATTGGATTCCTCTTGCGTGGATTGTTTATAAATCAAACTTTTCAGAGAATTTTTCAAAGAAACTTCCACAGACTACTGTAATACTTTTTACAAATCTTCTGGATTTCTCCTGCATGGGTTGTTTGTAAATCAAACTTGCTGATGTTTCACCAATCTTTCTGTTGGGTTACCTGAAATTTTTCAGTTAAGCTCCGAAGAAGGTAATTGTTCAAAGAATCTTCCACATAGATAGATAGATATTTATTTCGCTTTTCCATACTACATATAACACATATAGTGAGTAGAGACACCTATCAGTTAAAAAGATATTAATTCTTTTCTTAAAAACAGATAAACTATCAGTTTCTTCGAAGCATTTATAGAAATTTAAAGCTCTGTTATATAGTTTCAAGGCAAAATACCTTGGGTTGTTGCCCTATATGCAGTCTAGAGAATGGAACGTCCAAGTAATCTCTTTGTCGTGTGTCATGTTCGTGCAAGTCACATCTCCTATTCCATCTTATCATGTTACTTTTGACATAAATCAAAACGAAATAAATATATAATGAAGGAAGTGTCATGATCTGAAGTTCCTTAAATAAATCCCTACATGAATGTTTACTAGTTACGCGCATCATGTAACGAATAGCACGTTTTTGTGCTAAGAAGACCCGGCGTGCACCAGTGGCTAGACCCCATTAGAATATTCCGTAGTCTATCACTGATTGGAACAGCCCATGATACACCAGCTTTAAAACGTCAATGGATACCGTATCTCGAATATTTTGGATGAGCAATATAAATTTGGGCAATATGTTGTCGATGTGATGATTCCATGTAAGTTTGTTGTCAATGTGCAGCCTGAGAAACTTAGTAACCTCCACGTTTTCTATAGAACGCCCCTCTAATTGGAGAAGAATACTGGAATCAACGCCAGTATTTTTTGTGGCTACCTGGGTTGTTTATTTATCGAACTTGATGACGTTTCGCCAATCATCCTGTTGGCGATAATTGGCAAAACTTCAGCAAGTGTGTTTAAATAGACAGTTACGTGAACTGTAACTAATTGATGCTATTTTGTTTTGATTAGGTTACAAGGATACTACCTCTTCCTAATGTTAACAAATTTAGTATCAGGAATTAATTTATAACGTTCCTAAATTATTTTTATCTAAAACTTCTCCATTGTGTCGACTTAAGCACTGACGAGATGCCAATCTCTCATCAAACTAATTTGTGACTGAAAATACCACCTAAGAGTCGCAAGAAGTTCTTCGCATATAGCATATATAGCCGAACAATTCCCACAGAACAAAAAAATCACTTTTTTATACAAAAATGTGATGGTTCTGCTACACTTCACACAACTGATGTTAAACAAAAATCAAATTACATATTAACTTCCTATTCCTTAATTTGAACGGCTAAAAAATGGAAAATTAGATTTACTCACTACTACTACTCAGAAGCTAGAATATATTTTTTTAAACTGGAACCGTAATTTCTGTATCTCCAAATAACATTGTTTTCTTAAAATTGCTTGAGATGTCGGCTTGTAAAATAAGGGGCAGTTATATAAAAACGCTCTAAAATTTGTGTATAATAATGGAAGCGACCAGCTTTTTTCAATCGAAAAGATCGTCACTTTCCAAACCTACACTTTTAAATACATTTCAGTCGTTTCAGCTCGGAACATATCAACAATACAATTCGAAACTTGGAAATTCACGCGCAGACTTTTTCATCGGGCCTCTCTAATCAAAGCTTTCCTTCACGCTTCCATTGAAATCAACATTTTCCATTTTCCACCACTTCATATCGCATTTCACATTCGCACTTTCATATATACGTGTCTTTCATTCCAGGTACGTGATATCGACCCTGTGCGGTAGCGAACGGTGTCACAGTCCCCCGTGGGTGGTGACACTTGTCTTCTGGGTCGGCTACTTTAATTCCGCCCTCAACCCTCTCATCTATGCCTACTTCAATCGCGAATTCCGAGTAGCTTTCAAGAAGACGCTGCAAAGCTGCTGCCAGGTGACGTCGAAACTGGTCTGCTGGAGGTGGAATACGAGGCGAGGAGAGGCTCCGATCTCTTACAGTAACGCCTCGAGCGAGATGCACGGAAATAATTTCGTCAGACCGGAAAACAGAAGCGAGGCGATCGCGCAAAGGTTCAGCTACAACGTTTCTGAGGGTGAGGTTGTTAACTTACAGATCGAAGCTGTTATATAAATATCGATGTCAAGCTCGGCATAAAACGAAGATATATCGTCGATGTCTTGTTGTTCGAAAAAAGCGGGACGATGATGATGATGGGAGAGACGTTAGTTTAATATTTTATATGCTCCCTCGCTAGGTCAAAATACGCTGAGAGATGAAAAATCCGTTACCACTTGATTATTGGCAAATTCGCAGAGGAAATTTTTTTCAATAAACACCCGAATTTAGGCATTTTTTATTTAATTTTGTTGTGTCGTTTTTGTAATTTGCTTCATCGAGAAAGCACGATTTTGTGAACCTAAAATCTTATAAACAGATAAAATTTAGAAACCTCACATAACTAACAAAAACTAAGCAACCACACACTATTAGTATTCTATTCAGTACAACTGTATTTTTCTTAATCCCATTTCAATTAATTAATAGAAAATTTTAATTATTTTTTTTCACACAATTGCAGTGAAATGTGGTCATGTGAGTTGTGAAATATTATAATTCACTACAATTTGACATTATTTGCATTTATTATGCAGCGATTTTTGAATTGCTTTGAAATCGTGTAAAAATCAGACTGCACTGGCATTTTGAAAGCACTTTAAAACAAACAGAAGCAGACAATATGTGTATATCCACAAATATTTTCGTTCAGTGGAAAAATGTTCGAATAATATGTTACAGACACCCCAATTAAAGGGTATAGTCAATCACTTAACCAAACTGCAACATTTATATAGTATCAAAAACACAACTACGAACCGATACTAAGCGTTATGGACAAATGTACAATCATAATTAATTTATATTGTTTTAGAAACGTAACAACAATCAGAAAGTAGCGGAAGTATTAATGATCCGTTGATATCCAATATTATTTTCTACAAAAATTATACACGATCACCAACGTTAGCATGACAAAGAGAGTAATTTGCTTCGTTTAGTTTATTTTTATTTTTTGAAAAAAACACTGATGATCAGCTCTGAAATATTCGGTTGAACAAAAAACAACTCCGGCAAGTTATCCCGATCGAGATTGAGTACAACATCTCGATAATCTCCGATATGTGGCGTGAACTCCTGACATTTTACTTGGATCCGTAGTCGATTGTTTACCTTTGAGCGAAGCCGCAAGGGACAGCCTGAACGCATCACCGAAAATATCGAAATTATATCCCGGCATTTGGAATGTAAATGTTAAAGATATTTTCGGGTTTTGCTTTTTCCCGAACGCGTCTTTGAATTCCCCAAAATCGAAAACGCTGCTGGGAGATAAATTTAAGTGTTAGAATACGAAATGATTGCAAATTGGCCAGCCAACGTGTCATTTTCTATAATAAATTCCTGAATAAAATTAACTCGTAACAAACGATACGAGAATAATACCGTTTCTTTTATTCATTGGAGTTACCCAAAATTTAAATTATAACTAGCTCGGTGCGGTCTGAGCAGCGCAATAGTTCATTTCTTTTTTTTTTTTTGGTTATATAAAATACTAGAACAAATGGATAGATTTATTTATATTTTATGACTATTGACTAATTAATTATATTCGAAAAACAATCTTTTTAACAGATTATCTTTCATACAATACTGAGTTTGCAGCCATAATGAAACCACAACTTATAGAACTCACCTTCACCACAGGTTTCAGTTTTTGAATAGCTTCTGCTCTATTAACAGGCAAAGAATGGACTTTCAGCCACAAATGTAAAGAATTCCACTTAATTTCTATTTATCTAATGCTGATTTGAAAAACATTTAAAGTCATAAAAATGTACAATAAAATTATGAAGTAATAATATTGAGCTAAATTAATTTCTTGGAACAATAAATATATATTTGCAGAAAGTTCCTAGTTGTTGCCTTTCGGCTTACGGATATGCAATTATAAATTTTTGTTTTCATTTTAATTATTATTTTGAAGACCTATGCATTTTTGTGTTTCTCAAAAGAGACAAGTTAAAAAAAACGCTCCAAATTTCGGAAAAAATTATTCAAATCCGAAAAATTATTATTTATAATTACATTTTTGTGTATGGAATTATTTAGTTTTGTAATTAGTCAATTGCCTGCATTCTGTGACTTCTATCAAATGTTTAACCTTACGGTTAATTAAAAAAAAATGTTTTGACTGTTGGCTTGAGGTGAATTTTCTAATTTGTTGGTTAATAATAAATAAATTATTTCTGTAATTTTGGGAGTATATCTTGATAGCCATTGTATTGTAGTTAAATGTACATGCCTGATCAAGTCCATTGCTGAATTTTGCCGGAACTGGGCCATGAACGGAATATTTACTTTGTGAATTACAAAATATTTTAGAACCAACTTGAAACTTCCTTTTTGATATGCATTAATTTCATCCAGAAATTTCGTTTATAGTTTTTCCATACTAATTACTGATTATCTTCTTTTTATGTCGACCTTTATTGACTGTCCTAGAAGGCTGTGTAGTAACATTGTATACCTAGCTCTTAAAGTCGTTGTCTATAACAATATTTTAGTGTCGTTTTTTATACTTTTAATTTATTTTTACCAAATTATTGTTGTTAGTTATCATAGATAAAACGTATATTCTGAAGTGAGATTAAATGTTTTATATCGATTTACTTTTGCAATACTATAGCTTTGTCACCATTGATTCAATATTAGCAGATAATCTATGGCATTTTTTATTATTTCCATTTCTCTATAAAATTATAAATTGAGATTACACAATGCTGTGATCAACATAGTTACGAAATAAATTTGACACTTTTTTTTCATCAAACCTTATATGAGATGTAGAAATCCCAATACAAACAAAGAAAGAAGGCGAAATTGTCCTAAATATAGATATTTAGTATTTAGTGTTTTAAAAAAAAGAGAGCGAATATTATCATTTATTTGAAAGTTTTTATTTTCTTTCATTTCAACCTTTTTTTTTTTTGTTGTCAAAATGGGACAAAAGGAACGTGATGTATTTATTATCTCTTAACGGCAATTTTTGTTTAAAATTGGTGACGACATTAATTCAAACAATTTAAATTCTGTGAAGTTTTGGTTTTAAAGCAGTACATAAAACCCAGAAGCCAAAAATTAAGAGAAATGTGTCAGGTTGAAAGTTTGTTAGAACAATAAAGTTTCTATAAACAAAAAGGAACAATGCTCATAGGCCGTAACAAGACTTATTGTTCTGTGTAGTCCAGATTATAATCAAGACCAATTTGTTTCTAAACCGGTAAGTTTTTAAAAGTTGTATTAACCACGTAGCCGAACACTTTTTAAATTATAACTAAAAACAGGCCATCAGTTTATTTAGTTTCAGTGCCTGTAAGTGTTCGTATTATTTCCGGTGCCAAGTTCTTAAGACCCATAAATTTATGAAAGGGTTAAAGTTTGACGGCAAGGTATTAAGTCTTTCCTGTAAAGACATTATGCTTAAGTTGCATAACCACTGAACTACCTCTTCGCAATATTGTAGGATATCGATGTTATGGAGAAGAGCTTGTCAGACAAAGTTTACATTTCGCTATTGTGTTACTAACTTGTTACAAACATAAAACAAGTTCACTTTATTTCTGTGTAGAGTATTAGTAACCACCCATTAACACCAGACCTCAAAAAAATACTTCTTTGAGTATCATATTTAATAAATAAATCTGTACAATTTTGGTGTAAAATTATATAGTTTGCAAATAATGCGAATTTATTAAGTTATGTTTTGCTCCATATCCTCGCACCACTTTTTGTCGGATTACGTGATGATATTTTTTAAAATTAAACCGCCATTGTTGATAAGTTTTGATAGCATTCCTCCAAAGAAGGCGATCTACACTCAAGTTAAAGGTTTTCATTACTACAAAAGAATCAAACGGTTAGATGCCGATATAAAAGCTTAGATTTATAACGGAATTTAGAACTAATGGATTTTTCTATAGAGATATTTCAAAGCTGAGGGCTCTTCGAACACAGTAGGGACGGCTTTATCTTCCTGATGCTCTGTCATGAGGATATACTAAAAATGAATGAAAATGTTGCTATATATGTGAAAGGGAAGGATTGAGTAAATAAAACTTCCATATCTGGCGGAAACCAACCTGTACTAATAATAACTCATTGATTTAATAGTTTTTTTTGCATATCATGTAACACTAAATAATACTTAACATACTGGAAGAAAAATTAATTTTAGCCTAATTATGGAAGGCAAAAAATGAGAGAACTCATAATGTTGACAAAATGGTTTAGAAATTCGTCGATCTTAAATCTCATTGCACCCTATGAGCGTGAATCAAAATGAATTATTCCTTTATTGTAACCATTATGAGAAAGTTGTTTAAAGTTGGTGGAAATGTGGGCACGGTCATTGAACTTTATAGGTTAAATTATCTTTAATGGGAAATTCAGCTAATCAGTTGCACGAGATTAAATCTCACGTTTATAGGGCTGGGAAAATCAGTGTTCGCTCATAAATGTCTATTAAATATGCTACTAAGCAATTATTCTAACATCATTCATCATCACAGCATTCTTATGTTGTTCTGTATCGATCGATTTAAAACGTTTATAACACTGAGATATTTAACGTAAAGTTTAAATTGAAATGAAATATTTTTGAAAAAAAAAGAAGAAACATTAATGAAATTTTTGGAAAAGGAGATGGGTACAAAACCATACAAAATCCGATGTCGGTGATAAAATCTGATCAAGAAACTCCGTACCACTTTTATCTAAATTATATTTCAAAACAACCCAGCTCTATTTGCTCGGCGACTCATGATGATTAATTTACCAGGTTCAACATTATCAAAATTGCCAATTTGTTTATTTTGAACTGTTTAATCAATCATTTAATCCGGCTCACTTTAGACGGTTCATCGACATTCAATAATTTTGTTTGCGTTATCCAAAATTAAACATGATTCCCGACTAAGCAAACACTGAAGAAATTCGGGCGATATTAATTATTGTTCTGTTTCATTCAACACGATTTTA